AAAGACAAAGCTATCATAACACATTACTTCTCTGGCATAAAGACGGGAAAAAGACTAAAACGATAGAAACTACTGAATTACATATAATCCTGTCAATCATGAACAAAAGCTTGTGTTATCAAACAATACGCATATAAGCGCACCAAACTCACTTCAAAAAGACATTAAAAAAACGTTACAAAGGTGCTCTAAACTCAAAAAAGCGTCAGAAGTATTCCGGACACAACACATAAACAAAAACAACTCTTAAAACGTCGGTATCTCTGTACTCGACAAATCTCAAAACTCTGAAAAACTCTTTGGGGCATTACTTTCCCCATCATATTCCGTACTCATAAACTCATAAAAACTCCATAAAACTTCACAAAACTCAAAACACTGTGTTGCAAATACTTGTCCACTGAGGCGTGCTAAAATCGTTATAAAGGACCTCGAACGTCACTAAATATCAGTTCAAAACACAAATCTGGGCGCTTACATACATACAATTCGACATCACAAAAAAAACGGTAAAAACAATAGGAAAAACCAGCAATACATTACATTACTGAGCAATAGTGTTGGGATTGTGGAAAAGAGTTCAACGTCTTGAGTTACACAGTGTCAGTTACAGTGTCCAGCGAGCAGTTCTCTAAGCAAATAGCTAAAGTTCTAATCAAAGTCTATAAGCGTCATCTCTCTTGTCGCGTTAGTCCGGGTCGTTCTTTCTCTTCTTCCTGTCTTTAATGTCGCTCAATTCTTAATTATACAGTCCTATCCGGTACTCATCCTTCGTAAGGGGCTCAGAAGTCTTCATCTCTTCAGCGTCGTTCATCGGTGCCATACTGTTAACGGTGTTAGTCGTCAAGCGCGGTTTCTGAGCCGTCTCTGCCATGGAGCTGTTAGTTCGGTTCACAAGAAAGACACATCTTCGCCATTTCACTTTTCTTCACAGGATGTCAATGTGTGTTAAACACCTGCCCGGGATCTCCACTCACGTATCAGGGGTAAATTCTTCTCTCTCTCTGGGTTCTCCACACTTGTCAGGGGGAAACTCGTCTCGTCTCTCTATCTCGTCCCCTTGAGGTACGGGATCGGGGAAGTCACTTATACTTTACAGTCAAATAAGACACACACAACGAAATACTTTTCAGCTCTCGTCTTAGTCGGTCAATCGAGCACTCTATCAGACACAGCCCCCTGGGGAAAAGTCCCCAAGAGCATCGCAAGGCTGACCCAAGACTCTCTTAGACTGCGTCAAGGCTCGCCCCAAGTCTCTCCAGGACTGTTCTAGACTCTCCAGGACTGCGTCTCGACTGCCAGACTGCGTCTATCGTGCTCTGCTCCCCAAGACCAACTCAAACTCTCTTTATTCATTTTCAAAACTCTAACCAATTACAAAGCAGTAAAAAGACTCTAGGGCGTAACCTTCAATCATAAATCCAATCACACTAAGTACTGAATACGTCATATCTTTTGATTAATCGTTCACTACGTTAATAACTATGGATATAAACTGTCAGAATGAGTAGTCTAAATAGCGGTGGTTATCTGGTAATTAGTTCCAAATCACTGAGCCAAGTTCCGTCCAAAATTTCAAATAGGCCTAAACGATGACAGACATAACACAGCAATTCAGCTAATAATCAGCTAATTAAGTCGGTTAACAGATACGCAAAAACAAATTCATGACACTCCATAAACATTTTCAACGTTTCTACAATGCAAGCGGGAGAATCGTCACCTGCGGAAAACGGCCATAGCGTGTCGTTGTTTACAAACAGGTGTCAGTCGGTCTACCCTTCATCGTCCGAATCGCACGGTCCCGTGTCTTCGACCTATTAATAGGCCTCTAAGCGATACCGTGCCGGATCGCATAGGCTAATTGCGTATATTAAGCAGTGATATATGATTGGGCGCACCTCGAAACAAGGCGCCCAATCAGCTTGGACGTACCAAATTATAAAACAAAATTCCTGTTTTTTCCGCTATGAGGACACCCTTCCCACACAAAACTGCGTCGATTGCCTGTACCTGATGAGGCTGCCAAGGTCTGTTTAGAGGCTTGGTCGAATAAACTTAGACCTTGGCTAGCGAACATGTCTACCATTGAGCTCTTGCGTTATTAGTGTGCGTTGTTATCGTCTCTTGGGACTCTCCGCTTTAACATCAAGCGAGACCCCCCCCCCTTCGCGCGGTGACAGGAAGACATCACAAAATTGCATATTATTTCGACATTAGCTTATAAAATAATAATAATAACAATACATAATGTATTTTCAATTGGCTACGCACCCAAATTGATACATTAAACAGCAGCAAAATTAAAAAAAGACAGTGCCAAGTCGTAATGTATTATTATTAGTATATATTGTCAACTACACTTACATTGGAAATTGAATGGTGGTGGTTGTCGCGCGTCGCGAATGTGTAACATTTGTGTCGATAAACACTAATTTTCCCACAAATCAATGCGCTCTTCTAATCGGAATCATGAGTACAAGTTTTAGGTCGGACGTGCACTAATTACCACTGGTGACTCATTCAATATTTTCCAATTACCAAAGTAAAATGCATAATTAAAGCATAGAAACGTACCAGTCTGTGCAATAGTCGAAGTCGCAATCTTTGTTCATATAAGACCCATTTCTCGCGCATGCGTGGCGCGACGACCTTAAGCCCTTCAAATTTGCTTGTTTATATGATCATCGTTTTCATGGAGAAGACATCAGGACAAATTACGTAGATTATGGATTAGTATATTACAGTTGGAATAACAACTTGCTGACTGTTGGTTCATGGCATCTACTTGACTTGCAGGTTATTATAAAATAGACCAATGCATTATTGTAATTTCAAAAAAATACACATTTTCACTTTCCAAGTCTCGTCAAAACCAGTTTAACGTAGCAGAATTATAATCCCGTACAGACTTCTAACCTCTTCTCTGCCGACAGACGCTCCGTCTAATAGTTTTCTGTTTTGTTTTCAACTTAAAGCGGGGGGAGTCGTCACCTGCGCACGCGCGGGAATTGAGTCCCATGCGACGACATCAGCATACGCTAAAAACGCAAAGGCTCATGGGTAGACGCTTGTTTGTAAACAATGAGGCGCTATGACCATCTGACGCATACGCAGGTAACGACTCCCCCGCTTTTAATGGTTTAATGTAATATGCATTGTAGCAATTCCTTTGGCCTGAATGTTTTTTTCTTTCCAACTAAAATAATTTAATGAAATGCGCATTACAGCGTTTGATTAAAACATTTGAGTTGAAATAAATCAGAGGGACTGTCGACAGTCAATGACATCTCCTGTATCTCTTATTAGCGCTAACTACGGAATTGCCATGGTAGCAGTCTTTCTAGTGCTGACTACAGAATTGTCATGGTGATAAGTGTGCCTCTCATTAGTGTTAACTACGGAGTGTATTTGTAACAGAAATAATATCACATACATGAAATGAAATTAAAAGCATTTGCGCTTACTTCAAATCTTCGGGATCACCATCACCGTATTGCCGGGATTGGTAAAGGCTGTGGAAAGTTTGATCAATTTTACCGGGGCGGTAGACGCTCTCAAAATCAGCTTGGAACTTTCCGTTTTGTTCATATATGTGATAAAGAATGATAGTACTCATTCGTTCTTGACCAATAAATAGAATATCTTTACCATTAACTTGGCCATGACTCAACGATTCCGGTTCCGGTCCCTAGAAAAGAGAACATACCATCATACCAAGGACACAGGGAACCAATTGACATGATATAACTGCATGCTGATGGCAAAAACACCTGCCTGCCAAAAAACAACAAAAACATGACCGGTAGTTGAATCGGAACACATATACAAGACAGAATTTTATACGTCAAAAAAAAAAAAAAAAACTATCAACAAAGAAGCCGCTCTCTGATTGGTCTGACTATTAGGTTCAGAGTTGGGCAGCCAATCAGTGACAATATTCGCACTGATTATGGCTCAGAAGTATATTAGGATTATTTATTTATTTATTACGCAGATCAACAGGCAAATCAAATTTGACATGACAGTAAGTGCCTGTCGCTTCATCTGCTCATTGTAACAAGGATATAGCGATGCTTGTATGTGAACTGAAGGCAGGAATACGGCTGGACGCAAGCCTGGCAAGGGGTCTGAATGTACAGAGTGAACTCTGCTGTTACTATTGGGTGTGCAGCCAAACGGGAGTCGAACCGGTAATCAATCCGATACTTGGCGGACATGGTAATCGACGCCACACCAGGTTGATGATCATGATTATTATTACACTACACAGTATGTGGTTGATATTCATAATAAAGTTAATGATGGGTCAAGCACAGTCCATGTTTTATAATATTACGTCAAATATGGCTCGCAAAAATGACACTAAAGCATAATTCTTTTCATTTACAATCACCCCACTAGAACAAAAATGTTCTTCGGGTTCTTATTTCATTTGCGTGTGATTCCTGTCTTTCGTAGTATATTACGTAGTCTGCAATTAAGCTGTTTTCGAAACTGTAATACGGTGGTTATTATATACTTTCGGTTGGCCGGAGCAAAGAAGAAATCAGCGAAGACTAAAATAGGCAATAATTCCGATTTCAAATTAACGTACTGCAAACTACATTTGGTTTATGAAGATGGCTAGAAAAGACCATCGTCGTCCGGACCAAGAAACACAATTGTTGAATTTTCCACTTGTAAAAAAAAGTGAAACAACCATTTACCATAAGATTACATACACGCCATGGAGAAACAAGTGCGAATTCAGGAAATTCTTTTATTTGATTTGTGTATCCTATATTTTGTTGGATGAAAAAAAACAAAAAAACGAAATTTTTCCAATTGCACTGTGCGATGTCAGTTTGTGAGATTTATAACACAGCCTACACCGTTTATCGTTTTTTTAAATATGAATTAGTTTTGAGACATGGCAAGATAAATGACAAACTCGGGACAACGTAAAAATTTTTACAGTATCGAAATTAACTAAAACCTCTATGTATACTATTGAACAAATATCTACATGCCATTTAGCGAATCCGACTCAATATATAAATATCAATTTAGCTAAAGGTGACAATAATTTCATTTTGGGAATATATATATATTCATTTTGGGAGTATATATATAATGTAAATTAACCATCCTTTTCTAATTTTCTAAGTTGCATATTAGCAAAATTAGCTAAGATAACATTCTTGCTAAAATGCTTTGCAGAATTTTAAATTAACATGCATATGGGGGTGATATTGCAATATTATAGTTTACATCAGAGAATACACCGACTTACTTTGTTATCTGATCTAGTATCTTTCATACTTTCGGGGGTTGCCGCAGGGTCGTAGAAATTTCCATTCATATTGAAAATAGTTGGATACGATGCTTCGTTAATGTCTTCCATTTCTGACCCGCTATCGTACACCATCTTCATATTTTTAGTTCTGACAACCGAAAAACTTCTGCCGCCATAAGAATAAAATGTGTCATACTTGTCCGTTTTGTTGTCAACTTTGCTAAATCCAAGTCGACCTAAAAGGAATGATACGAGTAGCATGGATTAGTCAATCAATAAACTATTCCGCGTGGTATATTACTGTACACCTCACGTTTTTGTACAGACGGCGCTGATATGTTTGCGCTCAAACGAATGTATCCCGTCGATAGTTGACTAACTGACGTCAGAAAATGTTTAACAGAGTTAAACATCGCTGCTATTATCTTCGACACGCACGCAAAATACGTCTGAATTGTCGTTTTCCCTTTATTAGTTTACATTATGAATATTACGAGGAGTTGAATATGACGCTTGATTCTTGAAGCGTATCCATTGACACATTGTATATACGCATTAAATATAAAGGCAGGATTCACTAATGTTATGCAGAAATACCAATATATGTTAATGACATGGCACGATAATGGTTGCACGTTATCAAATATTCGCTAGATTTCATTTCAGAAAACCCAAATTATATTTTGTAAAGTTTGAATTTTGTATCAATAAAAAATATATTTCATTCTTCAAACCTAATTTTGCTTGTAAATGCATATTTTAGTTTGTGACATTCATATTTCATTTTATTATACCAAATTTTGTTGGCAATTGTTTTTTTGCATTCGATAATTATCTTTTTGGTGTTGCATGTTCTGAAACTGACTTCCAATACTGAGTTCAATGGTCGCTCAGACACCCTTTTTGTAAGTTCCGGGTATGTTCCAACAAATAACGTCGAGGGCAGCATGTCATTACGTTCGAACCGGTTGAGTCGAAGCATATATACAAGGCAAAATTTGATACGTCGAAAAGAACTGTCAGCAAGCAAGCTGTTTTCTGATTGGTCCGACTGTTAGATGTTAGGGTTTGGTAGCCAATCAGGGACATTTTTGTGAGTAGTTTCGTATTGACTCTAGTTTGTACCCGGAAATCCAAGTATTACGTTGGCGTTGTTCATATCTTGAACATTTCGTGATTACTGACTTGACGTAACGCTCTAGCAGTACATGTATCCGTGAACTGAGTTGATCTGCAATTCAATAACTAATTGATTTTTAAATCTACGGTTAATCGGATATTTGCTGCCACTCTTTCAGCAATATATCCGGAGATATCTTGTTTTTTTTTTCTCCATATATATTTGCATATCAAATCACGTGGTTTGATATTGACTTTGAATCTTACCCAACTTTGACGTATCTCCGAGAGCGTTCTTCAGCTCATCTGACACTGAAGAGCTAATGAGGTCATCTGAAAAACGTAAACAATAAATTGTTGTTGCACATAAGAGTAACATGAGAAGAAAAACATGGCAAAGTTTCGAATGGCCATACATATACGCATCAAAATTATATTGCGAAAAACAAATTTAATGGTTGTCTAACTATCAATGAAGAAGGATGATAAATCCACACTATGTTATAACAATCCCTGTAGTCTGATTGGTCAATGCATAGACATATTAAATTGCAGACATCATGGCTGACAATCTCAATACACGCACACATTTGTATATGATGGTTGTTGTATTTATGAAGGAACCGTATTAATTAAAATATGTTTGGTAGCTTTTAATATCATATAAGTCTCAAATACGGAGTCACGAATGCAGATTCATTTCCTAACCAGTTTTCACGTTTAAAAAATATAAAATTTCGAGACTATATAATATCAAGTTTATCAAACTCGTGTAGTCCAGAGTCTTTGAATACACTCGTCTAATAACTGAATCATTAAGTGTCGAAACAAACAACTCAGTAAGCGGTAAATTACAATGAATAATGGTGCTGTCGATAGCATTTCTATAATGAATAGCAAATCTATAAACACCATGTCATTGCTAATAGAAAACGGCTCACTGAGAAAGATTTATGCATACCGTATTACCTTCGATCATTATATTTGATAATGTCATGTCTTGTTATTCATAAGGATATGCTACATGTATGGTCTGTATACCACTTACCATCATAAAAGTCTTTCCCGTCCATTACTTCTTCCCAGGGTTCGCCAAATTCAAACTTTATTTCCATGGCGTCACCTTCGTTTGCTATTGCCAAATATTCATTCCTTCCTATCGTCACACTCACCACTGCATCAGGTTGGTACATTCCCAGTATAGGCCATGTTTGTATGTTTATTTCTTGACATAAAAAGAGGAAAAAAAAATTGAATCAAACCGTTTGCGCAACTTTTACTAGAAGTTATTAGTGTATATTTAGAATAAAAAAGCCCCAGTCTCAAAAATTGACAATTGTCTTCTGACTTCTTTGTTATTGCAAGTGCCAAGCGCAGATACACTGAATAATTCGACTTTACAATAAGCTGTGAAGCTCCGTTTGTAAAATGAAGATTAAGACGTGACTCACCGCCATCTCTATCACTTGCATCTAAAGCATGAATTCTGTGATTCTTGAAACCAAGTGGGTGTATTTCTTTGACCCGTGCACTTGTTATGTCCACCTCGGCAATCGCATTATTCTCCTGTTACGAGAAGGTCATACATATATTTTTAACAAATATAGAAACATTTTCATTGGTTCCTGGCGTTCTGGGACGTGATCTCAAGCCGCAAAATACATCCACACTGTATAATGCTGCACTATTTAAGTAAACGTTGGGGGCGCTGTATTCGTATATGGAAAATGTTATCAAAACGCATACACACAAGCACGCTATGGAATCCAGAGTTATTGGGAAACCAGGATTATCATTGCATATTACAGCGTATGACACGGTGGGAGTGTGTACAAATCCTCAGCAGTCGCTGGCTTGTTAGCTGTAGTATATATCCACAGGGAGTTGGACAAACTTATGTATTTTAATAAATTATTAAATAATAACATGTTATATAACTTTTCTTTTGCCACCCCCCCCCTTCCTGGTATCGATTTCAAGTAATCTGTGTTTATACCCCTCTTTCCTTTATCACAATCTTT